GGCCGCGCAAGGTAGTTCTCGGCCGCCGGACAGCCGTTGTCCGACGGCAAGCCTTGTGTGGCGCGATGCACTTGAACGAGGCGCGTCGTGTACGAGCTTCGAGGGCACCCGCAGACGAGGCACACGACCTGTCGTGCAACCGGCGGACAGACTGGTGAGAGCGCCGTCGCGTGCGACTGGTCTCTGGCGTCCGAGACCCATCAATCTCAGCGGGCCGCGCGCAGCTCGAACGCCATTGTTGCAATTGTCGCGATGAAGGTCGTCGCTCTCGCTGCTCTGGGTGCTGCCGTTGTGAGTGGCCAGCAACCCACGCTCCGCGCTGCCGAGACCACGACGGCGTCCGTGCCAGCCGACGAATCCAAGGTGGCGCTGTCCCACGACGACGGGCACGACAAATGGGGCGGTGCGGACGACAACGGGCACGACAAGTGGGGCGGTGGGGACGACGACGGACACCGTCAGGTCGGACGAGGCGTGTACGGGGGTGGTCGCGAGGGTCTGGGTGGCGCCAGCTCGTATGGAGGATACGACGAAGGATTTGACGGCGGCACATATTTCTTCTTGTTGTTTTGTCTAGTCGGCAACATCTTGCATGTATTTACACTTATACTGTTTACAAAAGCGGATGCATGCCGTGATAAATACCGTTGTTTTGAATGAACTCCATCACGTCTCGATGGTTTTGCTTGAAGGCTTCCGCGACTCCGTTGATCGTACACCCCTCGTTGCGGTGGACATGGAGCCACTGAAACACTTTCAAGTTGCCCGCGCCTGCCGCCCAGTCCATTGCTTTCGTCGTACACCCTTCACGTCGATTGCGATGCAGCCACTCAATCACGTGGAGGTGGCCATTCTGCGCCGCATAGTCCATCGCCTTGGTCGTGCATCCTTCCTTTCGGTGGGACGACAACCATTTGACCACGTGCAGGTGTCCGTTCTTGGCGGCAAAGTCCATCGCTTTCGTCGTGCATCCTTCGCGTCGCTCGCTATGAAGGAACTGCACCACATCGAGATGGCCGTTTCCCGCGGCCGAGTCCATGGCGTCGACTGTGCAGGACTTGCGGTGCTTGTGCAGCCACACCACGATGTCCAAGTGGCCGCTAAAGGCAGCTGAATTCATCGCTTCCGACGAACACACACCCCGTCGATTCGCATGGAGCCACTGAATCAAATGAAGGTGGCCCCGAAGCGCGGCAAAGTCTATCGCACGCCTTGTGGAACCCTCCGATCGGTTAGCATGGAGGTACTTGACGACGTCGAGGTGGCCAGCGCCAGCGGCGTAGTCCATCGCGTCAGTCGTGCACCCAGGCTTGTTGTTTTCGTGGCACCATCGAACGATGTGGAGGTGTCCGTTGGCGCTGGCTTCGCTGAAGATGTACGAGTTGTATTTGAGGAATTTTTCGCGTTGTTGGAGGATGTATAGGTGTCCGGCGCGAGCGGCCATGATCGCGTTCGTCCAGTTTTTCAGTCTCACGCCCGGGCAAAACTCCATTATGCTTTCAAACAGATTCTCGTCGCACAGGACGGACGAGAAGAGACACCCGAAAGCTTGCGGCGGCGGGCCAGCATCTGTCCGCCGACGGGTAGCCGACGGCGATGACACGAGCATGTTTTCCACGATCATGCGGGGATGCGGAGACTCCATCTTGTCTTCGTCGACGGTAGTTCGTATCCGGAGCCTCTTCTCCAGCGGCATCTTGGGCGTGACGATCATTCAAGGCGGCGGGCGGCACCGGGTCTGCCCAATGTGGAAGGTTGAGGAATCAGCCCCACCTTACTCTCTACGCCGGTAACATGCAGAATCGAAGTTTCATTTTACTTCGATTCTACTTTAACGTGTTAAACGTGTTTCCATGCAGCCAATCCCAGCGCCCGAATGCAACTGGATGTTATTGCCTTCATGGGGTCAAAATACATTCTTCCTACCGTGATGAGTAAGCCACGTGACGGTTGGATGCCTTGAAAGAGTGATCTGTTCAACGAAGCAAACGAAATATTCTGGCGTCAGTGGAAATGGGTTAATCCTGATCGCGGCAAACGTGAGCAGCGTACCACCACTTTTCACAAATCGTACGTACAGACTGCGAGGTGGTGGTGAAACCAACTTTCTATACTTGCAACGTAGTAAGTACTACCACACTCTAATAGTAGTACTAATGGGAATTGGGATTCCACATATTGACAACGGTATGGGACTGCCGTCATTTGCGATATTACGGTGGTTCTTCGAACTTCTGTTGGCGAATATACGCCAAAACATTATTGAATTTAATAGTACTAGTAGTTTGGTCAAGGATCTCTTGAATTTACAAGGAACTAGCAAAAGTGTGCATAAAATATTCACGCCTAATATTTTGAAAAGAGGTGCGGGCTCGATGTATTTGCTCGACGACATATTATTACGCTCCACGGTATACAAATTCCAAGATAGCTCGATCTGTAATTCGAGGAACAGCTCCATCATGCACAAATTGGGAAAGCAGTATGTGGCATGGTTTGTCGGGCTCGATTAGCAAGGACAACAGATATTTATTCATGGGATGGCGAGGACGGGATTGGGCACACGGGTCGTGAAGAGTGTAAGTGGAGGCAACACTGCCGTTGAATGGTGTGTCGAAACTTAGGCGCTTTGTGATCACGGAGAGGGTCTTGATGGACGGTATGCCTGCACGCGCTTTTGGTAGCCACACCAAACGTTGCTTGCGTACTCCATGTCGGCGTAGTACTTTTCATTTTGCTACGCAGCGATGCATGACACAGGAACGATCATCATCCACGACAGAGATACCTCGAGCTGTGTGTTGATCTCTTTGATCACATCATTCAGACGACCAACCGATCCTGTGATGCGTTGTAGGAGGGCTTTGTGCTTCTCTTCGTATGGGTCTAGCACACACGATGACATGAGGTTCCTGCGTACAAGTGCTCCTCGATGAGCAGCTCACTCTTCATCGATTCTGCGCACAATTCAAATGGTCCATATCCGGATACCTTCAACTCATCCGGAGACTGCGCGCCAAACTCTTGCATGCAAAGTTCTCGCGATGAATGATAGAGGAAGCGCAGTACAGGCTGCGTACTGGAAGACAGGTCTCGGCGGCAGGTTTGCTCAGTTCTACCATCGGCGGGGACGTGAATGGACAAGGGACGCATGTGAACGGAATTTGTCTTTACCTAGAAGTGCCAACATCAAGTGTCGTGTCAGCCGACGAAGGTGCAGCGTGAACAGTTGGGGCGATCCTGCGTCGCACTTGACGACGTTGAATGCATCCGCGGCATCTAAGACCTATCATGACGCATCGAACCACAGCGTCAACTGGGGTTTCCTTGCACCTTGCGACAGTTTCGTTCCCTGTGGTCGTTGGTTTCGCGGCGACTGCATCTAAGCGATGAACAACGTGGACAACGAACACGATGCAGAAATCCAGCACTTGCTTCGCGAAATGCACAACATGTCGACAAGGAAGAACGCTGCTCCACACCATGGACCTTTCAACGGTCCTCTGCATGGCAAGGCATCGTCTTCAGTGCTGGTATGCGATCTCATCGTGCCAGAACACAATCCATTATCCCTTACGAATAGAAGAAGAAATCCAGCAGCACCGTCAACACTTACATGTATGGCAAATCTACGCACCTCACCCACAAGGGTTCATCGTCCGCTGCTGCCGTCCTCGATCTTCCGCGAAGTCATGTTCGTGCCCAATATCTCCACATGGTCCGCCCTCAGTGTAAAGTCGACGATAGGGCAACTTGAGCTTTGTCCAGCAGCTACAAGTCAAGTACAACCAAGCAAAACATGCCCTAGAGATCCAGGAAGCCCAATGCGCAGATCTCCAAGAAACCATCTCGGATTTGATCAATACCAAGTCTCAACACGTACAAGTACTTGTGTAAAATACGTGTTGAAGGCGTCCTAGGCTTTTCAAGTGTCTACACTGGAAGCTACCATCGAGACGCAAGGCAGAGAGATCCGCACACTTCGGGACCACGTACAGGACCTATACACGGTCCAGCAAACATTACGAGCGGAGTCGCTTCAGAAAGACATCCAACTACAGCAGCGCCATTCATCTGTCACTCCCGCTCCCAACGACGACTGTCACTCTTGCGTCTGTCACTCGAACGCTCCGTCGATTGCGTGGTCCAATCATCCCGACGGTGGAGGAGTTGTCCTCAACACGTTACCCAATGCCCCAGTGGACTCGATTCAAGTCGTCCAGAATCTTCGTATGGAGCTTGATGGTCTCGAAACTCAAGTCGCGAGCCAATCGGCAGAACTTGTCCGCGTACAAGCAGCCCTGGATGAAGCTGTCGAGCGCAACCAGGTTGTTGAAGACACGATGCGACAGTGGACTGCTCATCTATTGGTGCGAGATACCAATAATCAAACCGCAGACGTCGAAGAGGAGAACCTGAATGGACTGGAGCTTCTCCATGCCCTAAATGAGGCCATCACGCACCAAATGTCTCAACGCAACACAGAGCTGGACCCCAACAACAGACTACAACGAGGTCGTCGCAACGCCATGTTGGTCCATCCCAACCACCCCACAACGGAGGAAGATCCATCAGGCGATGTGGGGGTCGATCACGATGACGAACGCGGAGCGATGCCTAAATGGCTGGTTGATGCTCTTGCGACCGTCGAGGATACAATGGACGAAGCAACGCATGCACTCGACATGGAAGTGCTCCAAAGCGAACTGGCGTCGCTACGGCGGTCGCTTCAGCAGAAAGACGACGAACTGGATGCGTTTGAGTTATTAATGGACTCAATGCAAGGCCAGGTGGGAGCACTCGCCACCCGTCGCGAGCTCTCCCAAGATGGGCAAGGATTGGCCGTCCCAGGGCACTCCACAATGGTGGAAGCACTGCTACACACCATTTACATCAGCAACGATGAGCCACAAGCTGAAAACGATGGCGACGACGATACAGATGACGGATTGCCTGAGGAAAGTCCTGACCTAAGGCATGACACCATGCCATCTGAACTGTCGGTGCAAGGTGTGGCGGCAATCGACAATGATGCCGGGGACTGTTGCAAAGCTCTGTCGCTGTATACGGACGAGCTACCCGTTAACCATCCCGCTCTGAGTTCGTTCCATGCAAGCCCCGAGGAAACTGAGTGTTTGGACGAGATCACACCTCTTGTCGACGAGCTTGCGGTCCAACCGGCAGAGATCGGTCAGTCACGTGCAAGTTTTGCTGCCTACCTCGCTCGCGTGCAGTCTTTGCTGGATAATGTCATCGCTGTCTTGCAAACGACCAACTGCAGCGACGATGACCACCATACTGTCAATGACGTGGACGTCTATGAGCAGCTCGTGCGATCAGCAGAAAATCTCCTCATCCATGCCACGACACACAGCCAGCTATGTGAATCACTCCAAGACAAAGTGACAGACCAGCGTATTGAAATGCAAATGCAATATGAGCAAGTGCACCATCTCCACGAGGAAGTCGACGCTCTCAAGTTGCAGTCCGCGGAAGCAATGAGGGCAGTCGAGAGCGAACTAAGTCGTCGCGTGGAAGAACTAGGCTCCTTGAACGCGACGAGTATTGCAAAGGACGGCGAAATCAAGTCGTTGGAAAGCCAGTTGACCACGGCTTCCTGCGCATTGGAAACTATGCGCCACGACTTGGCACTTACCCAGACGCAAAGTATTGCTGTCCGGCACGAGATGAACAAGTTACAAGCCCAGCACAGGCTGCAACAGTGCACTACGACATGCTACTTGGAGCACTTTTATTTGCAATTGCAAGCTGAAATGGCTACTCTCCATGCTGCCATCACCGGTGATGAGGCTGTCATTGATCAGAGCCAACATGACCATGGCGCTCCTGGCAATGACTTGGAACCTGCCGCTTCAATGCATTTGCCCACAACTGAATCCACCTCTGGCATCGAACAGATGCAAGACTATCAGGCGGCGATGTTTGAAACGTTCACTACCTTCAAGACGAAGGTTGTTGAACAAGTGCACAATCTCCATCGCGAAGTCAAAATGCTGCGGAGACAATTATTACATAGCAATGAGGCAGCCGCAAGCAGTGTCCGGCGTGAAAACGAGACACGAGAGATTATTCGTGTACAAGAGCGCTTGAATGCACAGGCAGACGACGCGAAGATTGCCATGTTGCGCGCACGCGAAGTCGAAATTGACGAGCTGCGATCGCACCTTGATACGGTGAAGGCTAACCTCAATTCCTGTCGAAGCTTCACGGCGCTGATCGAAGAAGAATTAGCCACGTGCAAAGCTATGAATCGAGAGTTGAACGAGAGCATGGTACAACTACGAGGCGTGGTTGACACCCTGGACGAAAAATTTGTCGCCCAGTGGATTGCCACTCCAAACCAGCCTTCAAGAGTATTCCGAACACTGAAGCACGGCGAAGGGACTTGCCAAGCCTCTATAACGCAAGAACTTGACCAACTGGAAGGTGACCACCAAGCCCACCTCAATCAGCTTGTCACCAGGCACACACACTACACCGACGAATTGCATGTCCAACATGCGATGGACCGCTTGTTGTTGATGTGCGAGAGCCACATGAGGCACTCGGACGTTGAAAACGAAGTGATTTCGTGGAAGCGTCAAATCAACGTGATGAAGTCAAAAGAATTACGCATGCGAGACGAGCTGAAGAGGTGCCAAGGCGACTTGGCGCTCGCCATAAAAGAAATGACCACACTCCGAGTAGATGTCACTACCCACGAACAACATATCATGACCTTGATGGGTGAAAACGAACGGCTTCGGCGGAAGTTGGACGCAACTTTGATGGAGATCCAAGATCTTGAGGTCAAGAACGCGTACGCTACAAATGAATTGGCCGACGTGTCTTTCTTGCTGGCGAAGGAACGAGCAACAATTGATCACCTGAAAGCCGTGGAAGATACGTTGCTGTCGCAACTGGAACACCTTCGACATGAACTTGAACAATGCCAACATGAAAGTACAACATGTAAAGCGCTGTCGGCATCCTCGGTCCGGGATGTGAGTCGTTACATGGATCAGATTGCAGTCCTTGAACGCGATGTGGCCGACAAAAGCGACAAAATCAAGGCTTTGGAAGACAAGTTGTCCACAGAGGCCCACCACTTGGCAACTAGTAGACAGCATTTGTCCTTTCTGGAAACCCAGCACCAAAACCTTCATGCACAGTTGTCGACACAAGAAGCTCAATGCAAAGCGAGGGTGGACAAAATGCACGAGCTGTTCGAATCTGCATGCTTGCGCCTCCAGGCAGAAATGGCGCTCGTGGCATGTTGTGGAGCCGAGATTGGAGACGACAATAGCCCAATAGAATGGGAATCAACGACGCAGACCGCCCTACCTGCTGTCGAATACCCCGTTATGGGCCTTGAACACTGTCAAAACGTTCTGCTCGATACAATTGCGTCGCTCAAGACTTGCGTTCACGAGAAATTCGACAGCTTCCGTCAAGAAATTGTGACTCTGCACAGCCTCCTTCAGGGATCCAACGATACTACCGCAGATACCATTAGGCGATGTGATGAAGACAGGGCAATTCTCCAAGTAGAATTGGCCTCCCTTGTCCAAAACCTCCAAGAATTGACCACCAAGCTGCGCCAACGCGACGCCGAAATAGACAAGCTGCACACGGCCCATGCGATTGAAGTAGCCAACTCAAACACAAACCGAAGCATGACTGCGTTGATCGAGGATGCATTGTCAGTGTCGAAGTCGGACAATCACTCATTGAAGCTGTGCGTGGCGCAGTTGCGACACGAGAATTGTGCTCTTCACGACAAGCTGGCAGCTCAAGTGGCCATCCAATTATCCCACGACGAAAAAATTGGTAGCATCCGGTGTCAGTTGGACGAAGCATTGAGTCAAGCTCGAAAGTCGCAAGAGGAAGCCTGGGACGTCGTAGGTAAGCAAGACCAGATTGCACAACTCCAAGAGGAAATGGCGTCCAAGCAACAGGAAGTCGGGAATTTGCTTTGTACTTTGGCAGCGTCCGAATGGGCTAACGGGGACATTCAGCGGCGCTGGGATGCTGACAAGGCTCAAATGCTTTTAGAAGTAGCCGCGTGTCGGTCCGAATGCCAGCAATTGTCCACATTGCTGGACGAAAAAAGGAGCGAATTTGATGACTTCCTAGCAGACCGATTGGCCAAGGAAGAGACCTTGGTTGAGTCATTGCACGTGGAATTCAATGCTATGCAAGCAACGTACGAAGCTCAAGTCGCCCTCTGGGCAAAGCGATCTCAAGGGCATGAGCGCACAGCCATCCGATTGCAGCACGCACTGTGGGCCATTCAATTGGAGGGAGAGATAGCTGCGTCGGAGAAAGGCAGTCCAACAACAAACCTCAATGCCGTTGAAGACTCAAATCTAGAGACCCCTGGACAAAACAAGGAATCAAAATACTGCAGGAGTCCTCCTGTGTGCCTCCGATCAAGGAATGCAATGTCAGTTGGGCTTGGTAATGACTGGGCTATCCACCAATTGCGCTCCGTTGCCCTGGAAATGGAGCTGCAGAATGATCAGCATGCGATCGAAATGGAAGTTGCACATCAAGATCACGAGAAAGATCGCATATTTTGGCAACAAACCATGGTTCAAAAGCGAGCGCATCACTACAATGCGACACAGCAACTGATGCAGCAACTCGATCTCGCGCAGGCGGTCATTTGTCAGAAGGAAAAGGACATAACTTTATGGATGGACTGCACACTCGCCATGCAAAGCGAAATCCAAGAATTGCGGGTGTCACATGCTCAAGTGGAACTTGACGCTTCGCTCAACATGGCGCGAGCCCAGAACGAAATAGCGGCAGCACGACCCTCAATCGCTATGAGGAAATCAGTGAAGATGACGCACTTCCTCAAGAGTGTCCAGCTGGAAATGGACGAGTTGACTGGCTCGTACCACGCAGTCGTCGAAGAGGTCAGATCCTTAACGTGTCGAAACCAGCAACTCCAATGCGCACTCGACGAGATGTCCAGCGAAAGGTACGCTCTGATGGCCAAGATCAACTGTTTGGTTAGCGAATTTGCCGTACTGCCGTCGTTGCTGGCCAACGAGCGCACCACTGTGGATCGGTTGGTCAAAGTAGAGAACGAGTTGAATGCTGAACTCGATCAACTTCGACAAGACTTCAAGCAATGCCAAGACGAACGTAATAACATCCACCAGTTGCTCAAGGCATCAACTGAGGAGTGGAGCGAGTCGATAGCGGAGGTGAAGGCAACAGTGCGAGCTCAAGACGCCCAAGATCACCAAGAATGTGCCGTCAACTTTGCCCAGTCGACTGCTACCAACGACAAATTGCTGGCAGATCAAATGGCATTGGAACGCGAGTGTCGGCGACTGCGAAAGGACGTGCTCAAGTGGAGGCATGTTGTCCAAAGCACGCAGCTTGAGATGGAGAGCCTCATGGCCACAGCCGACGGCATTGTGATGTCCAGCTCATCTGCAGTTGGACCTTGTTCCAGCAACTCCACACAATCCGCAGTCTTGATCGAACCACCCGAGGAAAAGTCAGTCCGCGACCCAAAAATAGCCACCACTGGCACCATTCCTGCACCGAATGATCTCCAAACGATGATGACCCACGACCTTGAATGGACGTGGCAATTGCACGAGCAAGTTCTGGACGAGCGGACAAAGCAGGTGCATCTCCTGCAGGCGCAACTTGCACACACCACCTCACCCTCGCCGCCAATGTCCCCGTTATCTGCTACTGAGCACAGGATGATCGCACTAAAACAGCGCCTCGACGCTGCCACCGCCGAGAACCACGCGCTATGTAGTCGATTGACCGACCTCACGCTGGACAACCACCGTCTGGTGCATGAACTGACCGCGAACACTCCAGCACAGCATCGAGCAGCTCAGACCATGGAAGCCACCACTCAAACGACAGAAGGAACAGGACTCGGACCGCAGCGTCAACTTGACTCTGTCATGGCCGAGAGCGCAGCGTTGTCCTGTAAGGTGGCCGATCTTACCATGGCTCAACTGCGCGTAGGCATAGTTGAGTCAGCAACAAATCCAACCACGATACGGCCCGACGTCACAATGGTTCACGAATCCAAGGTCGATACGGCAGTATCAAGCTCCACTCAAGCAGCCACCTTTGCACAACCAGCCAACGCCAAGTCAAAAACGTTCAAGGCCAACGATGGCCACTTGGCAGCGTTGCCTGGCGTGGATGAAAACCAAATCGCAAACTCCCGTCGTCATCATTGTAGCGTGGTTGGATTGGCGATCGATCGTCCCACATCTTCGAGAGACGACGGAGCTGCCGTCGAACTCAATTTGCGATTGCACTCGATGCTGTACAATGTCGTTGCGGCCATCCATGCCAACGCCATCCCCGATGAATACCACAACTTGCTGCGCAGCGCCAGCGGTCACGAGCAATTGATAACCTCGGCGAAATATATCCGTGACGAAGTCACGATCCTGCACCGTCAAATTGAAGCACTCCAAGCGCAAGTGGCTGACAAGCAGCATGAGATACAAGTGCAACCGAATCAAGTGCACCATCGACAAGACGAATATGAAGTGCTGCAGGTGCGGTCCGTGGAAGAGCTGACGGCTATCCCAAGCGAAGGCAGTAGTCGCGTGGAAGAACCCGGACACTTGGAGGGGGCGCTCGCAGCCACGGGCTGCGACATCAAGGCGTTGGCGAGCAAGTTGCCAATGGCGTCCCACCCTTTGGAATCAACGCGCCCAGACTTATCCTTGATTCAATTAAAGGTCCGATGCCCCGACTCGGCAATCCAAACAACGGGTGGGACGATGACTCATGTCACCAGCACTCAATCAACTGACAATAAAACGCAACCCCCAGGCGTTCTAACACAGTCGATCATGCAAACGGCAGAGCCCCAAGAGGACATGCACAGTTTGCATCGCCGACTTGGTGCCGCCATGGCCGAGAATTCGGCATTGAGAAGCAAGTTGGCCGACCTTACCAGTGAACTTCATCGCTTGTCCATCGACGCGGCGAGGACACAGCCAGCAATGACGCCAATCGTACCCGTGTATAACACACCCAAGGCATTCATGGCCCAAGGATCAGCGTCGGAAACCGAGTCGGCAATACCAGAGGCCCCCGAGGCAGGTGATGATGGTGCGTGGAACGGGCAAGAGAGTTGTGAAGTCAGGACCTTTACGCTTCCAGTGGACGAAAGCCCTAGCGATGGCGGTAGCCCGTTCACGTGGAGGGATTTGGCCGTTCACGTTCAAATGTTGCTGCGCCATGCCGCCGATGTCGTTGCGACCACGCAAGAGAAACGCCATCGACTCCAACATCGCCTTCGCCGACTTCTTCTCGTAACTCTCCACGATCCACTCGAGTGCGCTGCCCATCTTGATCCCATTGTTGTCGTTGTCCATCGCTTGACGAGCCTTGTGCGAACGCTTGCCTCATTGCTTGAGCCGCCCACGCCCTCCTCCTCGATGGTCAAGACGTCAGCGAGGGAGGCATCGCCGCTTCGTCCGTTCGCCTCGGTTCGTCGCAATCCCAACACTCCCTTCCACATGCCATCCTTGGTGTCGCGAGTGCCTCGCGGCAGTGGCTTCCCTAACTATCCACAGCTCCTCCATCATCACGCCTCGTCCATCGATTCGAACGCGTCGTTTGTCGCGGGGGGCGGCGGCGTCGTCCTGCTCGATCTCGGACGGAGTGAAATCCGCGCAAGTCTCGTTCCTCGGCACGGCCTCGCCGCCGTCTCGCCCCCCATGGTCCGGTTTGCGGTAAACTTCCCCATTGTTGCAACCAAACCCGCTCACGTCACTGTCCCATAGACGATGCGCGACGGTTCCAGCGACGCCGCGGCGCGCAATGTCGCGCGGGCGTTTGAATCGCTCGGACTCTCGGCCACCCACCTCGCCCATGTAAAGGTACGAATGCTTCCATATCCCCGCATGCGATGAAGAACGTGTATCAGGTCGTGCTCCTCCACAAACCATGCCTGGAGCCTGTGCTGAAAGAACACCTCACAACCCTGCTACTCCAAGGCTTCCAGGTCCACGGCATCAACCTCACGACCCATGCGCAAGTGGCGCTTATGGGCTGCCATGCGCACACCGGCCTCGTCGTCGACATTGGCAACAGCGTCACCCATGTCGTGCCAGTGTTTGAGGACATGGTGGTAAGTCACATTGTGATGCTCTCGTTTGGTTGACGCCTTCTCTGCAGCTCGAGCACGCCGTGGTGAAGATAGATGGCGGCGGCAGCAGCGTCGCCAAGCACATCGTGGCACATGTTCGCAAGACGAACCCATCGAAGTGTTTTCAGGCCGTGTCCACGACAGCCTGCGTCGAGGCCGTCGAACGGCGCTTGGCGGTATGCCGCCATTCCGAATCATGCAATCATCGCAATGCGCTCATGGATAGGAAGGGCGACGAGATGCCGACTGGCCGTCGTCATACTGCGACGTGTTCTTTCGTGGCCACGTGGACTTAGCCGCCGCGGTGCGTGTATGCGTCGACAAGTGTGACCCGTTGCTGCACGCCGCCATGTTTGGCAACATCGTGGTCACTGGCGGAGCAGCTTCCCTTTGTGGACTCGCGGAACGTTTGGAACTCGAGGTCCGCCAACTAGCAACAACGACAGGACGGGTGCGTGTGCACGTAGCGGCCAACGTGTTTGTCGGCGCCGCGGCGCATGCGACAACGTTGTCGCCGTACAAGTGGGTCCTCCAACCCGACTTCCGCCTCCATGGCGCACGCATCGTCCACGCCAAGTGTTTCTAACGCTCGCATGGGCGCCCCTTCTCTTCCACCCATCCATCGTCCCCGCCAATCCACATCCTTCGTGCCGCCCCAGTTGGCGCGTTCTGGCGGTTGGCGCCATCGGTCGACCGGTGAAATCTCGAGATTGCACGCACCCGTACGATTCGATTTCCATGTTTTTAAAACGTTCCTACAACTGTCAAGTGATAAAATGCGCATTTGTACCTCTTACGTGGGTTGCCCAGTGGGGAAAGTTTAAAATAGAGTGGAGGCGTGGGCATTTGAAATATGCTTG